CAAACATTTTTCAGTTTATATAGTGAATGTTTGAGTTTGTAAAGAAGAATACAAACACTGCTATTTTTTTGAACAGTCTAATATTCACTTTTCTTCAATTTATTTAGAGGAACAACACAAATTTGATATATTTTTCTTCATGTTTTGATTTGGAATAGAATGTGTAGTGTTCCCAATGCATTTGTGTGTATGGAAATAAAAGCTATTAGAAGGATTTTCAGCTTTATTCACTTTTTTCAACACACTGCTATTATTTTGAACACAACTGTATATACTGTATATATACGTGATTTTGCACACCCCTGCTGCCCTGTAGCAGTATATCTGCTATAGGGTGGTTGGGGTGTGGTTAAATGGCAGCTTTCTTCGTTCCTGAAATGGTGGTTTCACTGCAGAGGCATTTCACCATGAAACATAAATATTGTCTGACATTTATCTGGAAATCATTAAAATCATATTTCAACTGCCAGGTGTGAACACTGGCACAGTGGACTGTGATTGAATAACGGTTGGATAAGGGCCAAACAATGTATGATAAAAGATATATTTTTATATTATGCTGTATAATCTAAAAAGAGAGAAGCACTGGAGGCTTGTTGCAGCCATTCAGCTTTACACCGTCAGTGAGAATACTCCATACCCCTATGTGATTTCCTCTTCAGTGCTCACTTACCTATCCTATTTTTTGTCAGTAGTCCCTGCAAACCTTCAGCATTATACCCTCATGTACCACATATTGCTCTGTTCTCTTTTCCAGTGTTGAACTTCTATCACACACTCACGTTGTCCAGGTTATATTCTTCTCTTTTGTGTCTAATTCTCTTCCTTTTTTGTCTTTCTGCACCCTCATTAAAATATACATGTAGTTAGCTAGGGGGAGCTAGCTAGGTTTTTCAATTAGAGTCTGAAGAGCAGCCGTGTGTGAGTTAGTCTAGATTGAGTCAGCCAGGTCATTTTTTAGATCAAGGCTGAGCGCTCTGGAGACCAGTTCCCTGATATTTCCCCCTGCTCTAGAAACTTGAGAAGTCTCTAGAAGGCAGGGACTGATCTGCATACCTAGGGAATCTTGGCCAGTCCCCAAGCAGGAGGCTTGGCATGGGGCCAGGAAAGCTCCTAAATATGAGAGAGCCTGATCAGCAAAGGATTAGTGTTGTGTGGAAGATGGAGTGAAAGGTGGAGTGTGGAGCTTGGGAGGGGTCCCAGGAGAGGAGCCTACCTACGGGTAGGAGCTGGAAGGGAGGGTCTCTCAGTCTCAACCATACCCTGAGAAAGGACAGCCTAGGAAGCAGGGAAGGAGCCAGCCCAGAGTAAGGCCTGAAGGCAGCGACCAACCCACAAGCTTGCAGGAGAGGACTGAGTGAGTAATCCCACACACTCTGGGCCAGGTAAGGGGAGGGGGCAGTCAGGTAGCCAACATAAATAGTTCCTCATCTGGAGCTGCTCAGCTAAAGTTGCAGTTTCTGGGCTCCTTTGTTCAGGGATTCCCTCAAGCAGCTGGGTGAAGAGGAGAATTCATCTGGGTCTGAGGTGCTACACCAGGAGGGCTGGAGAATGTTTGTCTATGGACTTGTACACAGTTTTAAGAAGTTGTCCTCAAGTTGCAGTTTCCTTGGGCATCCCATACAACCCTCAACCCTATTCAAGTTCAATACCCCTTAATGAAAAAAAAAAAAAAAAACAAGCTCAAGGACTGTTTACTGTCTCCAGTGTCCAAGGTCTGAAGAAAATGCATGTTGCCTGGCTGTGCAGGGCTATAGGGGGACCCAAATCTCAACAACTCCTAAGGGGGTAGTGCTACTACTTACACAATATAGAGTGTTTGAATACTCAATATGGGGGCACCATCAGTACACAGAAAATCGAGTACACACTTGTCATGTCAGTGTCATGACATTATACATGCATTAAAAGGTGAAACACCTTCAAAGACAATGCAGACACAGTTACATACAATGCAAATACTTAGAACATAAAAAGAGGCCGCACATTGAACCAAAGTAAACAGGCTGACAGCAAATTTAATCATAGCACACAGACAGGCAGCTTACTGATTCACAGCACACATAGAAAATGAACATAGCCAAAGCACTCAGGGCCCATACAATCAAAGCAGATACTTAAAGGGTTATTTCATTTTTGTAATAAAAAAATAGCAAATAAAAAAAAACGATATATAATATACAATTGCGACACAAGTCATATTGTAATTGAATGTTTTCAATCTGCAGCGCTGTAATTTTCTGTAAAATGCAATGAAATTTGGCATCAAAACATAACTTAAGAAACCACACTAATGGCAAAACAAATATTATTATGAATGTAGCGCTGCCCCCAGAGGAGCTGCTTGTATTTTTGCCCAGGTCTCCCCTTTCTTCACCCCACAGCCAGGCACAAAGTATTTTTTACAGTCAGGTACACACACTCTTTCGCTCATTTTCTTCAATGACCAGTCTAGGGAATGTTTGTTTTTGGAGTTTTATGGTAGAAATGGGGATAGGGATGGGGAATTTAGTAGGATACTCCAAGATTAGAACTATTCACACTGAGGACATCTAGCTGATCTCTTACTTGAGCACTTTTGAAGTCCTGGCTGAAAGTAGATAGCAGACTTCTCTTTAAATTGTAGTAACAAGTAGTTTAGGAGTGAGCAATGTCCCTTTAACAGTAGTAGTAGTAGTTGAAGGGCTGAGCTCTTCAGGTATAGGCCGATTACGGCAGACTGTGGCAGTCCAAAAGTAATAGAACTGAGCAAAGTCCTTTCCAGTAGGAAAGGTTGGATAAGCTCTTCAGAACACCCGCCAGTGTTCCCTTTTCTGGGACCTACGCTGATTACCAGGCACCAGAGGGGTAGCAAGCACACAGAGTCTCCAAGATCTCTCAGAGTACTCACAAGTCCAAGGACAGAATGGCAGCCTCCCTCCAATCTTCCAAGTGACTCTCTTCAGTGATACCAGACAGAGCTTTGGCAGACAGCACCCCTTAGCTTACTGTAGATCCAGGGTCATTCTTCCTAACTTCAGGCCCTCAGCTCGATCACCTGAGGCCCGCATGGCAGCAAGTGCCATGCGAGGCAAGCCTGCCTCCAGCCTGGCTTGGTGTTATCCTCTCCAGGGAAAGATGCTGAACCCATGTGCTCACAGAACATAAATACTGCTCCCAGCATGCAATGGGGCCACCCTCCCCTGTAATTCGCCAGTGCTGTATCCATATTCATGCTGCTCATTTGCCTAGTTCCCTCCCAGATTCTGCATGGCTCTCATAGCTTCTGAAAGCGGGCAGAACTCAAGGCAAACTTAGCAGCACCAGAGCATCATGAGCAGACCTTACTGATCCATCACAGCACTTTGTTAAGCAGAGAACCCAGTTAGATTTACCTAACAGTCTCTCTGTTAAGCAGAGAAACACAGCTATACTTATCCTAACTATACAAACCCTAACACCTAACTAGGAGGGTGCTACATGAACATTAGTTGCAAGCATGCTAGGCGAAATTTACCATAGCATACAAATCAGTAAATAATAATGTGCTGCGCTTAATGAATATAGAAAATACCACCATAAAAAATTACAAAGTCCACTTGAAGACAATAAAGTGTATCCCACACCAGTAAGTCAACCTCCACCACAAATATTTTATGTGAGGCGTACCAGAACTGCATGACCTTCAAATTAAAGAAAGGTCATAGGTATGGCGTATGTTATTATGCAGACCCACCTCAATGGCACTCTTCAGGAACTACTGACTGGTTGCAGGCTGATCACAGGTTCCCTATAAGGCATGGAAGCATGGCCAAAATAGCACTCCCAAATTCCTCACAATATTGCACCACTAGCAATCTGGTCTCGATCCAAATCTCCAACACAACCACACTCAGAGAAAGAAGAGAAGGATACCAAATGCAATATGGTAACCTGGAGGCGCTTTGTACACAGAAAGTGTACAGAATGCTCCCCAGAAATGTTATTACCTGTTTGTGTGATTGGCTCACTGATTTTCCCAGAAGTCTGTACTAAGATACAAGTCGGATTTTGGGCATCCACTGTAACAAAAATGTCATTTTTGGTGAGATACTCCTGAAGAGAAAGCACATCTAAAGGTATGTATACCTTGAATTAACTTTCCTGATTACAGCCCTGTAAGTGCTGCAGCTGATTGATCATTATAAAGTCACTCCCATTCACATTCATTTTGTACATGGACACAAACATCTATTTCTTCAGAGTAGCAAAAGGTAGGAATCTGCAACAAAGTCTGTTAAAATCCTCGCAATGTACATAGATCACCCAGAGGGGAATGTTTATTTCTCAACAAAAGTGGAGTTACTCTTTAACAATAATAAATGTGGTTAGAAGAATATGGCAGCAACATAGCAAATTACTAATTGTGCTCATTCATAGCACTGATATGTTTCTTGATTTTAATGCATGTCCTTATCTGGGAGATTTCAAGGTTGTATGTCTGTAAAGGGGTGACTTGGATCTATTAAAATGAGTGCAATGTGTCCTGAAACATACAGGGGATGGGGATATGGTGACTTCACAAAGATGACACAAGAGAACACCTTGTATGTATGGGCCATACAAAAGTTTTAGACTTGGTTATGTTTAGTTTTCATCAACATGAAGGCTGTTAGCAATTGTCACACAATGCATTAGCAACACACAGAAGACTGTAGAAAGATTTTATAGACAGGTATCATGTTGTAGGCATGTATATAGAGTTATAGATGTGGGACTTTGGAAATATGAGAAGTGACTGTATTCATACATTCATTTTCTAACATCATCATGTTACTGGAGTTTATCTGTTGCAGATCATATGGACATGATAAATTAATTATTTGTGCAAGAGCAAACAGGTTCCAAAGTTTGTAAAGTCTGTTAGCCAACGTAGGATATGTGTGTGACCTTAACAGCTATATTTGATAAGAGAATTTCCTCATCTAAAAATCTATTTTTTTTGCTCTCCTTAACATCTTCATTGATCTGCCTTGGTTTAGGAGTTTTTTCGCCATTTGCCTCACGTGATCCAGCAACACGCGACAATGAACGACTCTGGAAATTTTCTGATTGAAACTTGTGATGACACAGTGTCTAAGGACATCAAGCAACAACTTCTATTGCTGAATGGCCGTTGGAGAGACCTGTTTGTGGAAGTTAAGCATGTATGTTGTTATCAGTGGATTCTATTTTATATTTTCTTAAAGAGTCAGCCTCCCCAAAACTAATACTTCATTTTCTGGTAAATACTGAAGAGCTAATCCAACTGACATTTTCTTATACCATTCAGGGTTTGTGTTGGGTTGAGCTCTCTAGACTTGACTTCCCATATCTACATGTCTGCTCTGGCCTCTATGAGGGCTCTCACTCTTTCTGGTAGATTTTGTATTCATTTATATATTATGGAGAATGTGAAAGAAGCTGCTGGAATTCACACAGATGGGCAAAAATCTTAAAAATGCCTCCCTCTCCCCCAACACCTATTCAGACCTAACCTGTGTATGATGGATTGGTATACTTAAGTATTTCCAGGCTGTTCTGGTCACATGATTTCCCATGTCAGCCAGCACCAGCTTCAGGGTAGAGGTCTTGACAACAGCTGGCACTGCCTGGGAATGGCAATGTTACCCATAGACTTACTGTGGCTCATCCACTGTTGCCACTCCCTCCTCTCCCCTGCAGGCATCGCTGGCTGACACAGGGGAGTTGGGTCACATAACCCGTCTGGAGCAGCCTGAAAATTGGTAAGTATACAGATCTTTTTTACTCAGGTTAGTTAGCTTAGGTGTTAGGAGGGGGGGGGGGGGGGGGGGTTTAAGATTAGTTAGGTGTATCCCAGAATTCTACTTTACTGTTCGACTGGCATCTTTTTAGTGGCCATTGCAGATTCCTAGTAGATTTGGAATTGTTTGGAAAGTAACAGTGGTGCTCTTTTTTTTAAATCAGAAATATTATTTATTAATGTTTAAGGCATACATAGTACAGAATGCAGTACCAAGTATAACACATTACGAAAGAATCAGCCATTAACAAAAAGAACAAAAGTACTAAAAGAACATTTCCAGTGTTACCAGTTGTCCAATGAACAAACAAGTACAACAAGATTGTGGTATTATTATGCAGAACTCCACAGACACAGAGCAGTAGATGTTCCCCTCCAACAGTGGACCAGTGGAAAATACAGCAGATAGATCTTCTTACATGATATTCCAGGTGAACAACACAACAGGCAGAGCACATCATGAAAGGATAATTACAACAGCCTTTGCATTACCAAATCCAATGGGGCTAAACTCGGAGTGGCCAACCATGCTTCCCAGAGTTTCTCAAATTTACCTGGGCACCCACGATGTTGGTAAATTAAACAATCGTATCGTAAGATGGTTCCCGTATTCGGTCTCCAATCCTCCATAGTAGGGGGAGTTTCTGATTTCCAATGCACAAGAATATCTTTGCAACAGGAAGGAACAGGGCCTTGGAGAGGGCTTCTAGTATAAATGTATCTTGGGTAACATTATCTAAAATACCAAAAAGACATTGTTTAGGGTCTGAATCCTTAGTTTGAAACACTAAATTAAGAAGAGTTGATATTTCCCAGTATCGATGAAGTTTAGGGCACCACCATAGCATGTGAATAAGATCCCCATGGTCCCATGTGCGCAATGGCATCTTAGGAAAAACTTCAGCACTAATGAGAAATAATCGTCGGGCAAGAGAAGATCAAATACACTTACAGCAGAATGTAATTCTAGGAAATTACCTACATTGATCAACAAATGAACCCCCAAGACTCCCAACTACACCCCTGCTGAAGCCCCTTTTTTCCATCCAATCTGTGCTCATATCTTATTATTCTGCATGGGGCCATCTAGGGTGATATTGCCATAAACTGGTAATTGCTGTTAAAGTTGCCACTACTACAGTGATGTTACATTTTTTTTTATGGATATATATTGATTATATGCTCCGAGTTCTTTCCTCTGCTTTATTGTAGGAATTTGTGTTTTGTTTTTCCTTGAAAAAGTGGGTATTGTCTCTTTATTTAGATGTCAGCAACTTATCACAATTTAGCTGATGCCCACGATGCCCATTTGCGTCTTTGACATAGGTGGCAATCACTGTGGCTTTTTCATCAATTGAATTTATGTTCTTTTATGTATGTGTTTGACAGTCATGTTCCACCTGTTGGTGGTCTTTTAACCTACTAAAAGGTGTTCAATTGTATTAATTGTCTTTATATTATTTATATAAGCAATGTTGATTTATATGGTTTGGTACCCCCAAAGCACGTTTAGTTATTCTTGGTTAGGGTCTTATTTAATACATTTCTGATTAGGGGTGTGTGGTACCAGTAAAACCCTGTTCACAAGGCTATGGAGAGTAAATTTGTCTCCATCTCCCACTCTTTGAATATCTATGTCACCTGCAGGTCTTTTTGCTTCTTAGGGACTCCAAAGGCAAGATCTCCCTTTTATACTTCTTGACTCTGTTCTTGTTTACTTTTCAGTTTTGGCTGTTCCTGAACACTTTTGGTATCCACACTTTTCCTTTTGTGTTCCCTATCATAGAAAATAATTTGAAAGGGCTATTTGAACCTCATAAAGAGCATCCAAATCTAGCGCCCTACATGCGACTAGCTCAAGAGATGTAAAAAAAATGGTTAGGTGGCCTAGCTTTCCATCATCCTACCAGAAACCTAAGATGTCACATCTGGAAAAACAAAGTAAATTTTTCCATGAAAAAATTAGCTGCATCTGTAATTGTTGTTCTCTGAAAATGCAAATTGCTTTACTATCATGCTTACATTGTGACTTCAAGGCCTGAGACCCATAACAAGTATGCAGAATAGAAATGTCAAGAAAAGTCAGAAATCCTTAGAAATACTTGTTCCCAGTAACTTTTTCAAGGCACAAAAGGGTAAGCAGGCCAGCCAGTCCTCTAGTATTTTCAGAAAGAGAGTACAGCAATGGCATCTTACATTTTTCTCTCATTGCAGGTTTCCTAAGTGGTAGGTATGTGTGCCAAAATGAAACCCAAATATTTATGTTAATAGCATCAAGATGGCAGAACATTTATTTGCTTTATTGTTATTGCATTTGATACATATGTTAAAGGATTACCTGACTGTAAGATGCAATAAATTGCATTTTTGTTCTTGCGTTTAGATATACTTTAGGCAAAGGCCTACTGGTAAATAATTTTTTTTTTTGTTGTACTTTAATCAGTTTTAGCTGAGTCTGAGGTGGAACTCATTTCAATTTGACCTAACTGTTGGCTTTAAATGGTTTGTCCCAAGTGAATATTCGCTTTAGCGCAAGTGAATATTCACTAGAAGCTAACACTTTTTTTAGGCTGCAATAAGTAGCTAGTTAGATCTGGTGTTGCCACTACATTGTAAAATAATATTGTTTTTGTGTTTGTATTGTATGTATTTTTGTATATACAGCCCCTGTGTATTCTTAAAAATTATCTAATGTTTTGCTGTTCATTTTTGTAGTATGCTAGAGCAGATGATTTTCAGCGGGCAAAGAAGGAATATGCGGAAGGTTTGATAGCACTGGCAGCATTTGCAGAAGGAGGCAATGAAAGAATTTCCATCCCTCTGGAAGTGTCCTTTCTAAATGTCAAGATGTTTGTTCAAGATTTAGAGGCATGTTTTTTATCTTTAAATGTTGTTTTTCTTTTTTTTCTTCTTTTTTTGTGATGTATTGAATTTAGTACTGTGTATCATCTGAAAGTAGAACTTTGGATTAGCTTGGTTAGAGGGGGAGGCTGTTGGTGATAGTTTATATAAAAGTATACCCGTCCTTTATCTTGTAAATGCAAACAAATGCTTTTTGAAGTTATCAGCCAGTTTTTTGTTTAAAGCAGTCCAATAATTCAATTTGACTAGAAATATAATATTTTATTTAACAAGATGCAAATATTTCCTGACACATAAACTTTCAGTGTTGGGAGCTCAGTTCTCATAGGTTTTGGTGCAGAAAACAATGCCGTACTTGAAGGTGTCCTCACATTAACCATCCCTAGGACCATAGGACATAAGAAAAATAGTTAACAGGTAGCACTAATTAGCTTTCAGAGCTCAATATTGATTTCAGCCCTTGTAATATAAATTACAAATCAACCTTGGAAGGTACTTGGGTCATTCTTCCAGAAAACCAGGTGCAGAACACCAGCAGGGGCTCAACCTCTACTCTACACACTTCACAAATCCAAAGAAGAAGGAAGCTGTTTCATACACTGACAAATGTTATTAATGCAGAAAAAGCAAACAGAGGATTCCCACCTGGGACCTCCTCCACTGAGGCATTTCTGTCATTGACCTGGCATTAGTTGTAGACTATCTGCTGTTTATGTTCAAATTAATAGATTGTCAGTGTTTGGATCTAAGTGCAACCTGCTTCCTTCTTTGCTGGACCATCAGCTAAAGGTTGGCGTGATTCATAGGAGAAGAGGGTCACAACTATGGTGCTTCCTTCTCTGCAAAATACAAGCCCTAGTCACATATCTGTAATATGTGCAATAAGCAATTGTAGGTAGAGGGACTGAAGTTTGAACATCTGCTTGGGATTTAATTTTACATAGCATTAGCTGCTTTAGATGATTTTCGTGTTCGTTGTATGATATCCATTTGTGAAAGAACAGAGAGCTCTGTTTATTTTTAGCTGTGTGCTTAGTCATGATTTGACACAGAAACTAACCATTTTCAATTACTTTCTATTTATTACAGGATATTAAACAGAAAATGCCAATCATAGAAGCCCAGTATAAGTCAGTGACAAGGATGGCTCAGCTTCTTACAAAGGAAACTCCACCATCTGAAGCCAGTGAGATGTTGGCAGCTGTAGCAAGAATCAAGGACCAACTAAATCGAGTAAATTCATTTGACAGTCCTATTATTCCTCGTATACATATACAGTCCCCCACATAGGATGATTTGCAACTGATATTTGCATGACAATACCTTATATGTTCTTTTTTCTCACTTAAAAATACTGCTTCCTATCTCACACTCAAATGCTCGGTGCTGACAGACCTGTCTATTAGCCACAAGTGTCCTTAGTCTTATATTTCAGAGAAGGTGAGGGGATTGGTTAAGCCAGTACTCTTACTGAGAGCTGATTACTGAGAGTACTAGGTCTAAATATGTTGCTTATAGGACTGCACAACCATATTTAAACACTCTGCACATTTGTTGTAATAGGAATGCGCAGATAACACTATGAAAATGGAGATTGCCATTGCAATTTTTATTTGTCTGCATATCTGTTTTGCATATCTTTTTTCCTGTGCCTTCAACTAGTCTTTAACAGATTGTGGGTGTTATTTACTTTACTGACCAAATTGTCTTGTAGGGTATTTTTATAATTTGACATGACTAATCAAAGTAAAATAAATATCGGCACAGAAAGAAATTTGCTAATCTAAAGATACAGTATAACCACCTGCTGTAAAGTAGCCATTAGGATATGATGAAAACATGAAAAACTTGGGGCGTGTTTTTCAATTGATTCACTATTCTACATGAAGGACTGTATAACTTTTTTTTTCATTATCCTCAGATAAGAGAGAGATATCCTCCACTATTGTATGAATCGCAACAACTTCTTATGCCACTTGGAGAGTTCGAGAATCACATGACCATTTTTTATGAGACTCTTGAGAAACTAACTGGAATTATCTCAATGTCAGACATGGAGTTGCAATCCACATCTGTTCTTAAACAGAAGCAGCGGGTATGTATAATAGGGTAGTCCTTACTACTGCTACATGCTGCAGCGTATCATGCAACAATCAGGTCAGTTCACAAAAGCATAATGTATGCAGTGTTTTCATCATCATATGCAATTTTCTTGTTTGCAATTGAAAAACCATATTTTGAAGGTAGATATGCCATCATCTTAGTGAACTGAGACTAATGAATTGTGTAGCTGGCATTCTCCCTTCTGTGTGTGCAGTAGCAAACAATTTGAATACATCTCTATTTTTATTCTATGTATCAGTGTCTAGAAATATTTAGTTGACATTACTTTTGAACTAAGCCAGTGTAGAAAGCACTGATGGTAACAAATGAGCAGTAAAGCAGCAACTACTGTGGTCAGATCAACATCACTGCTATTTGCTAAACCAGATTAAGCCCTATATGTCTATAGTACATACAGTATCTCACAGAAGTGAGTACATCCCTCCCTTTTTTGTAAATATTTTATTCTATCTTTTCATGTGACAACACTGAAGAAACGACACTCTGCTAGAATGTAAAGTAGTGAGTGTACAGCTTGTATAACAGTGTAAATTTGCTGTCCCCTCAAAATAACTCAACACACAGCCATTATTGTCTAAACCGCTGGCAACAAAAGTTAGCATACTCACTACTTTACATTGTAGCAAAATGTAATTTCTTCAGTGTTGTCACATGAAAAGATATAATAAAATATTTACAAAAATGTGAGGGGTGTACTCACTTCTGTGAGATACTGTAGATAATCCCACCAGTTCTGAGCTAGTAAATGTTTAACAGTATTTGTAATGTGAGATTGCATACATAATATTATGCCATACATACTGTAACATGCTCAGATAACAATGGGTCTTATTAGCAATAGTACTGAAGTCACAGAACCTGACTGATTTATCAAACATTCTAAAGGTCTAAACCTAAGGCAGGCTGGAAGGAAAGAAAAGTGCTTGATTTCCCCATCAACATAGCTCTCCCAGCAGGGAACCTTACCTGGTAGCAGAACACAATAACTAGTGTTGCCGGCTATAGCCATCATTTGGGAAAAAAAACCCGACAGGCTGGTTGTACACAAGTCAATCAATAGATTGACTTGTATACGACCCTGATGCACACATAGATCAAAATTAGCCACCTCATAAGGACAGTTTTTTTAAAAAAGCATTAATGATAACTGTGTCTAAATTGAATTCTAGCATAGTTGTATTAATTGAAAGTTTATATCAAGCATTGCAGAATGACAGAATTAATATTTATTTTTATTTTCATATTGTAGGAGCTAATAACATATCAAGAGAGCTGTAAAAAAGCCTTGGCCATAATTGAGAAGAATGGCCAAGCTGTACACAAAGCACTGACAATCAGCAAATCAATGCACCATTTTGACCGATCTCCTCTGCAGAAGAAAATAACAGATGCTCAGTCCGCTTTTCAGGTGATTTTTGGTTGATGACTTCATTTCTGACTCCCCCAACTGTCACTTTACAAATTCTTATTCTTGTGTTTTTTTTTCCTACTGGTTTTTCCACCTTTGAGTACTTTTTATCCGCATCCTCCTGTGTTCAACACAAGTTATCAGGAATATCTATAAGACACAGTGCAGAATGTAAAGCAATAAGGGAATTTTCATATCACATTTGTGGGAACCTGAATTAAATAAGCTGTGCTTCCTATTAAAGATTTTGTTCTACAAACTTTGTGTGCCTTTTCAATTTATCTCTTTTTTTTACAGGATGTTGATGATAATCTGTGAAAGTGTAGAAATGTGAAGCATTATATAGCTGTAAACATAGTAGTCAATATCTTTTTCCCCTTATCAACAAGCAAAAGTTTAATAAAGCCAAAACTTTCATTATCTTACAATTATAAATTTGCACACCATGCAAATCAGTTTTTGTCTATCTGTAGAAGTGGATATATGGAATATATATATATTGGAAAGGAAATTAGCTTTTTCCTCCTAGGGTTCTGTTTAATACTAAATTGTAGTTAAAATCTGGCTAAAGTGAAAACTTTTTTTTGAAAGTTTTGGATAGAACTAATTGCAGAACAATTAGAACTCCTATAATGTTATTGCGGTCCGTGCTCCTGTAGGGGAGATTCACCTTCTCTATGAGTCATGTTTACTATTATCACTAAAAGTGAAAGTAAAAGAAAATCCTAAAATTCGGGTTGTCGCCAGAATAGGAGAAGACAAAAAAAGAGAAATTTTCCAGTGGGAACACTGGTTCTTGTAACCCTGGTGACAACTACGGATTCCCTTGCACTGGAGGGATTTCACTTCTTGATTTGGCTGTGAGACAATAAGTGATTGGAAATGTCCCCACAGATGGCAAAAAACACTGACAGTTGCCTTAACCCTCCCTTACTTTATTCAAAATGCAGAAAAAAAAATGCCTTTATTTTTTTTTTGGAACTTCTACCACCTTACTGGGTGCAGTGCTATATGAAAAAAAGTCTTTGTGTTGCCTAAAGCAGCTAAATCTTAATAAATTTATTCTTGAATCGTAAATTACCAGAGATACTCTCGTAAAATATTTCCAAGCATCTATAGGATTTCTACGTGTTTTTTGTCTGTTAGGGCTATCACATTTTTTTCTTATCCTGCAAATCAATAACACATTTACTGCATATTATGTCAGTGGGCATCTCTTCATTTTTCCTTTTTTTGTCACATTTCTACAACTCTATCACATTAGACAAATAGTTCTGATTAGCAGTGGACAGCTTTATAGATTAAATTAACACCTAACTAGTGTGTTCCTTCGCAATGAATTGAAAACACATATGAGCCTAATGTACATAATTTTGTGATGGATAATATAATACTGAACTAAATGTATTTTTTTATAAAAATGGATACTGTCTGGGACAAATATAAATGGTGTGTCCAGCACATCTTTATTAAAATATTTTTTAGATTGTTTCAGGTGGACTGGAGATCAGTTAGCACCACATCCCATATAGTAAATAGCCAACAGTATAGAAAGAAAAAGGGATTTTTAAGGTGCTCAAAACGTTCCAAACATTATATGTTGTACTAAAAATCATACAAAGCTTTATGACATATTGTTTATATAAAAAACGACATCACATTAGTAGTTGTGAAAAACGTAAAACCAACAAGGTGCTCCATATGACTTAGAGTTCACAATGCAACAATTCCCACTCGACGTGTTTCGCCACATTTTTGGCTTCTTCAGGAGGTTTACAGATAATTGCATGTAATTGCCACTACGAGAGAATAAATATAACAATAATATAACAATAAACACATTTTAATAATCAAATGTGTTTATTGTTAGATTTTCTTTGTATATTGTTGATCTTTATTAAAATGTTTTCATCAATATATAAACGTGAATCAAATAAATAAAAAAACAGTTTTATATCATTAGCGGTGGGAATGTTTTTAATTTTAACAGTGGAACAAAAATCATTGCAACTTTATGCGTAGAGTAACACAATTAATCAGTAAAACACGGACAAGAGCCATTTATATATGCACACTATTAACCTGCAAATAGGCAAACAAATCACAATGACATAGATACACTTTGTAGTAATCATGAGGTTTTGTGATTCCCATTGTTTAGCAAAAAACTGGTCATCAAATGATCTTTTATGTACTGATCACATCTTTGTTGATAGTAAGTTCCGAGTTCAGAATGGAGCTTTTCTACAATCTTCATAATGAATAGTAAGTGGTCAGAGATTTTCTGTCTCTATCACTCAACTTTTCACACATCTATAGCATATAAAGCTTATTTGTTCTGACAATTCATATACCATAAGCTGCCCATTTTCCTGAAAAAAAAAATAGGATTTATATGCTAGCACCAAATTAGATAAACTACCTGTAGGTACAGCTGTAGTTTTGCACCTACAGAAATATTTGAATATTCTGAATGGATTTACAATAAGCATTATTTCCGACAGAGTTTCTTTTTTTAGCTGTCAATAGGTCACAATAAAAATATACTATATGGTAAACCTGTACTACAACAAACCTGATTTAACAGTAAAGTGTAAAAGATGTTCTCCAATAGCTAAACCCTTATAACTCACGAATACTAAGTGAGGGTCAATGTGATGTATCATTTTCGCAAGGCACGCTAGACTAGAACATTTCCTTTGAATTCCGAGCTATCTATAACATATTTTTACCTAATCTTTAGCCTAAAAATAAAAAAAGAAACAGTTGGCATTATTGGACTAGAATTCTCACACTGTTTCCATATGGTTTACTACTCTAACCTGTTTCTACTCAGATGTCAGTTTGGTCACCTGCCCAGAAGAGTCTAGCGTGTTCTTGTAGCAGTTAAAACTTACAGTAGATGACTTACTGAGACATGCAGTTCTCTAAGCCAGTTGTAGGCAACCAGTTATACTATGGGGGCCTCAAATAAAGCCTTTATGCTTTTCAAGGACCACATAATTATAATATATGATTTTTTATGGTAGCAATGGAGGGTCAGTTTGGTTTTGAAACAACCATTATCACCTCTATTTTAAATAAAAAAAAAACTGTAAATGCGAGCCTTGAGAGGAAATACTATCATCACCAAGAATCTTCATCACACTGACATATTAAAAAATGTCTTGGCTTCCAATATGTAGATATCCTCCTTTTCATGTTATTTATTATGTTTTTTGTGCCATTTTGGTGGGTTTTATTACACTTGTTTTTAATTGAAATCATTTTACTTTGTAATAATCCCTAATGCTGTGTTCTGCACTGTGTCTCATATGTTGTTTTAATTTGGCAGTTGTTCTTCATGTCTTACGCCATCATTTAAATGTTACAAAGTGCTGATTGCAAGCGAGCAGGAAAAACCTATGTACTGTTGTCTATTTGTTGCTAAATTTGTCACCTTGTCTCCTTCATAATATATTTAGCTAGCCAATTAGTGCTGAATGAATCAGCCACATTCTGAGTAACTGAATTCAGCTGTTTCTAACTGGACCCAATTTAGTCCTTCTGGAACAAGAGAACTTGAATCAAGTGATAGCTTTGTAATTAGCGTGCATTTCCGCGGTTGGGATAATTTGGGATCATTAGGAAATATACTGTGGAAGCTGTGCCCAAAAAATGCAAGTAGAGGAAAGCAGATTAGTGTATTTTCCTCATTTCTGACTTACAATCACTTATTCTAATCTACACTGCGTCTTTGTGAGCATCTTAGTAGAGGTGAAAGGTGATGGCTAACCATCTTGGTAGATGTGCAGGGCTTTGCTTTCTCATATCAGAGCAGCCCTCTTGATGGCTAGTGGTCTTTTGACCAATAGAGGAATACATAAGCAGCAGAAGTGCTAAAACCACAAATGCTTGCCTTTGTAGATTTCTCTCTAGCAAAGAGAAAAGTGAGTAGCACAGTAGTGACAGCACCATATCTCACTCCAAATCTCATGAGACTAGTAATCAGAGGCACAGTGCCTTTAGCTGGTCATAGATGGATCGAAATTCGGCAAGGAATTTCAATCCATCTACGACCACTAGAAAGAAGTAAAATTAATGATCAGGTATGAAGCGTAATGCACAAGAGTGCCTAGGCACAAGAACTGCTAAGACAAAAAATAGGATTTTAGGATACTGTTTAAGCACAGTTATCATTTCTAGGTATTGGCTAGCAAACCTTTAGTTTTTAGTATAGGTCCACTTTAAGAGTGAAGGAAACATAAAATATCTTCTTTAGTGCAGCTTTTGATGTTAACAACTAAAAACAGAAGTTTATCAGAAAACAGATCCTGATAGGAAATGTAGTCTGGCACATATTATATTTTCAAGAGATAGATTGTGGATTTGTGGTTCTGGGTCTAATTTGTTGGTGTAACAATCAGTTTTCCCCTTTCTGAGCTTTCTCAAAAACACTTTTATGTTGTGTTGCTTTTAGCATGCATTAATGTGCCCATTGTGTTTAAAATATGTTCAGCTCAGGAAATGTATAATTTCTTTTTAATAACAGTGCAAAGCAAGTGCATTGTTATTCATAGTAAAACAGCAGTCAGCAGCTTGAGCAGGCATTGTAGTGAGAACTGCATTACAATTGGTTATACATGGTTACTGCAAATCCCTTTACTTTATGCCTGGATATTAAGTATGACAAGTCTGACATAACAGTTTGTGCAGTCACACCACACAGTTGAAAGTAAAAAAGAAAAAAGCATAGTTTTAAAGATAAGTGCATTGCCTAGAGCAGAGATGGACTGACAACTCATGGGGCCCCGGCAATAGGGGATCATGGGGCCCCTGTGTCCTTGCCCAAACTCAAAAAAGGCTATGAAAAAGGTACCAGGGGCATCTCATGGGGCCCCCTACTGACCCCGGCCCTTGGGCAGTGCCCGAGTTTCCAAATGGTCAGTCTGCCCCTGGCCTAGAGTCTACTCACCTTTCTCACCATTTGCTCTGGGACTTTACAGTGTTTAAAAATGTTCAGCATTCCTGTGTGCAAAGGACATGGTCATTGAGAATAATGGCTTTCCAAAGTGCATGTGCTAAGCTTGAGATTGACAAAGCCACTGTTCTGCATGGATTGCAATTAGAGATGAGCGAATCGAACCAGGCGAAGTGGAATTCGATACGAATTTCAGGAAAAATTCCCTCCATGACATTCCCTCCATACAGCGGTTGAAACATTGTATCTATTTGTTTCCATAAATGGAACCTTTTATGGAAACAAATAGATACAATGTTTCAAACGCTGTATGGAGGGAATGTCACAGAACTGTCAGAAATAGCCTATTTCTGACAGTTCTGTGACATTCACTCCATACAGCTTATGGAAACAAATAGATACAATGTTTCAACCGCTGTATGGAGTGAATGTCACAGAACTGTCAGAAATAGCGGAGCTCTGCAGATACACTTAGCGGAGCTCTGCAGATACACATTTTGCCGGCTTGGAATTCTTCTTATTTTCATCTACTTCTTCTTCTTCTTCTTCTTCATCCTCATCCTCAGAAGAAGAAGAAGAGGATGAGGATGAGGATAGAAGAAGAAGAAGAAGAAGAAGTATGGATGAAAATAAGAAGAATTTCCAAGCCGGCAAAAAGTGTATCTGCAGAGCTCCGCTAAGTGTATCTGCAGAGCTCCGCTAAGAAATAGCGGAGCTCTGCAGATACACTTTTTGCCGGCTTGGAATTCTCCTTCTTCTCATCTTTTCTTCTTCTCATCCTTCTTCTTCTTCTCATCCTTCTTCTTCTTCTCATCCTTCTCCTTCTTCTCATCCTTCTCCTTCTTCTCATCCTTCTCTCTTCTCTCATCCTTCTTCCTTCTTTCTCCTTCTTCTCATTTTCTTTCTCCTTCTTCTCATCTTCTTCTTCTCATCCTTCTCCTTCTTCTCATCCTTCTTCTCATCCTTCTTCTCATCCTTCTCCTTCTTCTCATCCTTCTCCTTCTTCTCATCCTTCTCCTTCTTCTCATCCTTCTCCTTCTTCTCATCCTTCTTCTTCTTCTCATCCTTCCTTCTTCTTCTCCATCCTTCTTCATTCTTCTCTTCTTCTTCTCATCCTTCTCCTCTTCTTCATCCTTCTTCTCATCCTTCTCCTTCTTCTCCTTCTTCTCATCCTTCTCCTTCTTCTCATCTTCATCCTTTCTCTCCTTCTCCTTCTTCTCATCCTTCTCCTTCTTCTTCTCCTTCTCATCCTTCTCTTCTCATCCTTCTCTTCTTCTCATCCTTCTCATCCTTCTCCTTCTTCTCATCTTCTCCTTCTCCTTCTTCTCATCCTTCTTCTCATCCTTCTCCTTCTCATCTCCTTCTTCTCATCCTTCTCCTTCTTCTCATCCTTCTCCTTCTTCTCATCCTTCTTCTCATCCTTCTCCTCTTCTCATCCTTCTCTTCTTCTTCTCATCCTTCTCCTTCTTCTCATCCTTCTTCTCATCCTTCTCCTTCTTCTCATCCTTCTTCTAATCCTTCTTCTCATCCTTCTCCTTCTTCTCATCCTTCTCCTTCTTCTCATCCTTCTCCTTCTTCTCATCCTTCTCCTTCTCTCATCCTTCTCCTTCTTCTCATCCTTCTCCTTCTTCTCATCCTTCTCCTTCTCCTTCTTCTCATCCTTCTCCTTCTTCTCATCCTTCTTCTCATCCTTCTCCTTCTTCTCATCCTTCTTCTCATCCTTCTCCTTCTTCTCATCCTTCTCCTTCTTCTCATCCTTCTTCTCATCCTTCTCTTCTTCTCATCCTTCTCTTCTCCTCATCCTCTCCTTCTTCTCATCCTTCTCCTTCTTCTCATCCTTCTCTTCTTCTCATCCTTCTCCTTCTTCTCATCCTTCTCCTTCTCCTTCTCCTTCTTCTCATCCTTCTCCTTCTTCTCATCTTCTTCTCCTTCTCCTTCTTCTCATCCTTCTCCTTCTCCTTCTTCTCATCCTTCTCTTCTTCTCTTCTTCTCCTCTCCTTCTTTCATCCTTCTCCTTCTTCTCATCCTTCTCCTTCTTCTCATCCTTCTCCTTCTTCTTCATCTTCTCCTTCTTCTCTTCTTCTCATCTTTCATCCTTCTCCTTTCTTCTTCTCATCCTTCTCCTTCTCCTTCTTCTCATCTTCTCTCCTTCTCATCTTTCTCCTTCTCCTTCTCCTTCTTCTCATCTTCTCCTTCCTTCTTCTCATCCTTCTCCTTCTTCTCATCCTCTCCTTCTCCTTCTTCTCATCCTTCTCCTTCTCCTCCTCTCCTTCTCCTTCTTCTCATCCTTCTCCTTCTCCTTTCTCATCCTTCTCCTTCTCCTTCTTCTCATCCTTCTCCTTCTCCTTTCCTTCCTCATCTCCAAGGGCATTTAAATTAAAGGTACAGTGTTCTGCACTAATTTAAAGGCTCTCTGAAGCCTAGAAACCCTTTTTATAAGTTAACTTCGTAGCGAATAAATTCGCATCGAATCGAATTTCTTCCTGAAATTCGGCGAATCGGCCGAATCGAATTTTTGAATAATTCGCTCATCTCTAATTGCAATATTTTAGAAGATGCAGGGAGCTCTAGTCTGGGATAGGCAAGACAGTGTAAAGATGAATGTGACTGCATATGAGGTCCTATTTACATCAGGGAAGTTGTTGAGCAGGAACCAGGGCAAAGCACATGGAATATTTGAGGAAATTACAGTTAATGTTACTATTTCTGGCTTAGAAGCCTCATGTTGCAGGAAGTAACAGTAGTCCCTGCACTACAGAGAAAAAAATGAAAAATGGGGAATAGTCAGTAATTGCGAGCAATGTCGCTTTAGGGTCTTTTCAAATGTCCATGCCTTTTGGTGCATTTTAAAACAATCTGTCCAATGTAATGGCTCACTTTCTATAATACATTAAAGTGGTTGTAAATCCTTACATATACGCAGTGGTGTGACTGGCCTCAGATGATACACAGAGATGAAACAAATACATAAGTTGTACCTCTTTACTTACAGTCATCTTTCCCCTACACCCATTCAAAGTGCAGAATTTACACAGGATCTCTCAGCTTTGAAAAGCAGGGGGCAGGGAACTAAAGTTACATCAGAGAGGACAGCTCCGAAAGCTGATTCGAGAGAAGGGACACACCTCCCTTCACTCAGCACACAGAAGGAAAGCACAGGCTGTGCCCTCCCCTGTCACCATTTTTTTCATGGTGTCAGGAAAACTCCTCAGAAGTGACTTATGCCTTTAGTAGAGGAAACGAAGCAGCAGGCAGAAATGACACTGGCTCTGAATTCAGACAAGTACAAACAATAGAGGGATATACTTTGTTCATGTTTGAGGTTTACAATCAGTTACAATCAGTTAATCAATTAAGTAATACATGAAACAAACATGAATTTAGGTTGTACAACATTGCTGTTAATCACACTTTAAAAGTTCATTAATACATGCATAAATGTATGACTCATATTACTACATTTGGATAGGTGTCTGAAGGCCCTTTTATTCAAGATGACAGTCAACCAACCTTTTTTCACTTTCTGTCTCATTTCTATGACAGACAGTTCTGGTTGAAGAATCCTGGGGAATGTACTGTTTCAAAAAGTTGGACAAATTAGTACAGTTGCCATTGTTTACCTTGAGATAAGCTGGTTCCAACATTGCCTGGAACATTTGAACTGAATCTGTCCCCACCATGCCTGAAGTGTGGCCAAATGATTTTGACAGACATTTACATTACATCAGAGCTATCCTTTGATGTCCATGGTCAGATTTGAATTGAAAAAAAAAAAAAAAAAATCTCACACATATTGTATTTTAAATACAGTTCTAGGACTTGGGGATCCTAAATTAAAACTTGACATTTCTTCATAACTTGCCCACATTAATAAGTAAATAAATCTGTTAAAAATATTCTACCACTGATATTTTACTTTGCACAAGCCATAAATATAAGATATGCATGTGCCATTTTTCTTTTTAAATTAAGACCATGGTAAAGAAAATATCGGAGTGGAAAAAAATGGTAGAGTCCAACAGCAGCCTAATGAAGAAGTTTGAAGAGTCTAGAGCGGAACTTGAGAAGGTCTTGAAAACAGCAGAAACATACTTGAAAGAGAAGGGAAACCCAGAAGAATTGCTAAAGAAGCACACTGTAAGTAGCTTTTGCCATTTGATGATTTTTGTGACTTTTGACTTGAGGTTCCTCTGGCCCCCCATTCAGGTTTTAGGAATTGCAGACAGCTGCTAAAGTTAGGGAAAATGAGAACTCTTATGGTGGTTTCTCCTGAAAATCCAAACAGAAGCTTCTGGGTGTGCTGATAAACCTGAAATGATTATTTAGACTCAAAATAGTAGTGGTGCTTTGTTTCCATATTGCAAATATTCCCGATAATTCTTCATCTGGAACTATAGTTCCCTGTACTAACTAAAGCAAGATAGAGGCTTAGTATAGCATAATAAACTATAATAAAAAGAGAATTCCCTAATATTTTGTATAAATCTAAATAATGTATATAGTGGCAATTGGGCCTTCTGTTGATGTCTTCAAGCTGGCAGCACTTCAAACATTTTTAATTAATGAGTAGCATTGAAAAGCCATAACTAGATCATTGCCTTGCAACAAAGTCATGGCTTCTTCAGCTAGAAGTCCTTTTGGGGAGGGCTCAAACAAAAAATGTTTAATTTTACTCTAAAATGGGTAAGTTTATTCACGTTGCAGAGGGGCAAACAAGGTGGATCTGTTTTAGTTTTTCTAAGTTTTAAGTGGGTTCCCACTTTACAGCAGGAAGTGAAATCCTCCTCTCTTGTTCAGAGCATGGCTACAGTCAATCAACATTCCAGGGACATGAAGGCCCCCTTTTCAAGACAGACCTTTATTCTAGCAGACAGCAGACAGTAGAAGCATGTATAACTTCACATACTGCTTTCTGTTATTAACTTCCACCCAAAATGAAATAGCTACAGATAACAGACTTTATTTAAATGTGATATTTAAAGATCGGTTCCACCATCACTAGAACTTGACTGTTGTTTGAAGCCATGGTGTCATGGAAGTAATGACAGGATGAACATTTTTGGCTATGCTACTTCTGTAACTGGTCTGTGAGCTCTCCTTGTATCCTATAGAAAAACCACTAAAAGCTGAAGACTATAGCATTTCCCATTTTGAGGAACAGAATGTCTTGCCCCACACAACTCAAAATGGGAGCATTTTACAGCAAAGGTTGAACTCCGGGCAAACGGCTAAATACACAGCTAAAAGCATATATAAGATTTACACAGCTATGCTATACCCTGTGATTGAACAGCAAAAGGAGAGACAGCATGCTGATTAAGTCATCTTCTGTCACTTTGCTATCAGTCTTCTACCAGTATGCTGCATGCACTCCGGCACAACTGATTGGCTTCTTGTGCAGCTTCTCTATCGCCCCTCTCTGAACTCTGCTGTGCAGTAGACTGGAAGAGGCTGCTAGCAAGTCAAATTAAGGTACTTTAAAGCAAAAACTTTTAGTTTTAGTTTTGGATATAGTGGTGAAGGGTAAGAGCCTCATTCCAGTTTTGAGTGATGTCTCCACACTGATGTGATGTGTCCATGCTGGGCAGATTCACACTTTTATTTGCCCATTTATTTGACCATTATTTTTGGGGGAGAAAGAGCTGGGGAATCCAAAACTTTCAGTTGTCACCTGAACCATAAAAAGGGGAAGTGTTTAAGTGGGGAGACATTCTAGTGACAGCTGTCCATGAGAGGACTTTCCTCACATTGCAGAAATATCCTCTAACATCCTGATGTGTTTATGGAACAGGAAGCAAATTTAAATTTCCAGTGGGACACAAACAGAGGGCCAAACTTTTTTTAACCCTTCACTACCCAAGTGACAATATGTGCACAAATTGCACCATTCTATTTACAGTAGTCAAGGGCCATCAAAAATAAAACCCACTTTGGGGGAGATTTACTACACTTGATTCGCACAGAATCTGGTACATCTGTGCATAGTAATCAATCATCTTCTAACTTCAGCTTGTTCAATTGGTCCCTATGCCTATTGGTCTTCCCTATGCACAGCTGCTCTAGATTCTGTGTGCACCAGTTTTAGTAAATCCCCCCTTCCCTTTATCTCATAAAATAACAACTAGTGGTACATAAATTTCAGGATTCAGGTGCTTATTGGAATGTACAACGTTTAGGATATTTGAACCTTTCAATTTAACCACAAATTACCAATAGAATTTATTAAGAAGCACAATATACAGCAGAACAACTATGATTGTGAAAATTACAGTGCTTTATATATTTGTTCAATAAGTGCAAAAACTACTTGTTGATCATGTCATAAATTCAGAGCTGTCCTATGCAACACTTTCTATTTTATCTTAAGGATAAGGTTATGGATAGGGAGATGGAAAAAGACAACTTGGCGGGGCTGACACCACAGTCCACAAAGTGCTGTGTGTTATTAGCCTACAACACAACTTAGGAGTGTATTTTTTGCCAATCAACAGGTATTTTTCTGTACTTGCAGGTATTTTAAAGGATAAAACATGGAGAAATGTGCATATATTGCAGGGATGTACAGCATATGTTTTTTATTTTACCATGCTTAAAGGGTTAGTGTCTCTAAAGACAATTGAGTTGCGCTACACTAGCAAGTTGCACATTTACAGCACACAAAATGATATAATGCACTTTATTGAAATACATTTGTCCTGTCAGAAAACTCTATAACGTTTTTTTTTTTTTGCATGCAGGACTTTTTTGGTCAGTTAGATCAGAAGGTTCTTAATGCTTTCCTGAAAGCTTGTGATGAACTTACAGATATCCTGCCAGAGCAAGAACAGCAGCCACTTCAAGAAACTGTCAGGAAATTACACAAACAATGGAAGGTTTGTATTTTAGTTTATGTTTTGGATTTCACATTATATCCTTAAACAAATTAGGCTTCTGTGATCTAAGAAAAAAAATCCTGGAAATGAAGTGCAAATTTAAGTTGCGTTTTATGTGTTCTTGAGCTGTTTTAACTGCTGCTCCTTGTTGCTGAGAGACCATTTAAAGTGGTTTAGATATCTTGTGTAGATGCTCCTAAATGGAAGCCATTGGAGCTGAACCCAACAAAATAAACAAATTATACTTTATATCAATTTTGTCCTGAGCTGGTCCCGAAATGTGAATGTGTATCTACAATCACAGCAGTTACTGTGACCAGTGAATGTGAAATTCAAGTCATGTTTTCTTCTAAACCTTAATTTCATGGTTCTTTTTTTTGCTTTATAGGATTTTCAAAGTCAAGCTCCCTACCACTTATTACATCTGAAAATTGAGCTGGAAAGAAATAGGATTCTAGCCTCAGTGGAGGACTGCAGAGCAGAATTGACTCGGGAAAACAAAATGCTTCCAATAGATGGCAGTGAGAAGATTTTGAAAGAACACAGGGTAGGAACACATTAAACATCTGCCTACCTCAGAAATTAAACATGGAAATGTCAGCATAATAACACTAATCAACAGAATAGAATAATTATGTAGTGCCATAAGCAGGGGTGTACAAAGTCACCAAAGGACCTGTATGCATGAACAAGTCAGCTACAGTTGAACAAGTACAAACTCTTATTCACTGTTTCTAGATGCATGAATGTAGATAGATGGATAGATTGAAAAGCCTTTGTGATACCCTGGACTCCCTTACGTTCCATACGTTCCACTGCTCAAAAAAATTAAAGGAACACTTTAAAAACACATCAGATCTCAATGGGGAAAAATATCATGCTGGATATCGATACTGATATGGAGGAACCCAGGACCCACTGCACCAGCATAGGGTCTGACAATAGGTCCAAGGATTTAATCCTGATACCTAATGGCAGTCAGGGTGCCATTGTCTAGCCTGTACAGGTCTGTGCATCCCTACATGGCTATGCCTCCCCATACCATCACTGACTCACCACCAAAACGATCATGCTGACGTTGGCTTAACATTCTCCACAGCTTCTCCAGACCCTTTCTTGTCTGTCAGAATGAACCTGCTCTTATCTGTGAAAAGCACAGGGAGCCACTGGCGTACCTGCCAATTCTGGTGTTCAATGGCAAATGCCAATCGAGCTCTATGGTGCTGGGTAGTGAGCACAGGGCCCACTACAAGACATTGGCTACCCTCATGAAGTCTGTTTCTGATTGTTTGGTAATAGACATTCACACCAGTGGCCTGCTGGAGGTCATTTTGTAGGGCTATGGCAGTGCTCATCCTGTTCCTCCTTGCACAAAGGAGCAGATACCGGTCCTGCTGATGGGTTAAGGACCTTCTACGGCCCTGTTCAGCTCTCCTAGAGTAACTGTCTGTCTCCTGGAATCTCCTTCATGCTCTTGAGACTGCGCTTCTAGACACAGGAAACCTTCTGGCAGTGGCACAAATTGATGTGCCATCCTGGAGAAGTTGGACTGCCTTTGCAACCTCTGCAGGGTCCAGGTATTGCCTCATGCTACCAGTAGTGACACTGACCCTAGCCAAATGCAAAACTAGTGAAAAACAGTCAGAAAAGATGAGTAGGGAAAAAAAGGTCAGTGGCCTCCACCTGTAAAACCATTCCTGTTTTGGGGGTCATCTCATTGTTTCCCATCTATGCACCTTTTGTTAATTTTATTAACAACAAAGCAGCTGAAAATGATTACCAACCCCCTCTGCTATTTAACTGACCAGATAAATATCCCAGGAGTTTAATTGACTTGATGCTATACTCTGAATAAAAAGTGTTCCTTTATTTTTTTGAGCAGTGTATATATAACTTGGGTCAGGCCATGAATACCACATTCATTTCCAGTCAGTATGGTGTCAAGAGGTACTGGGGAGAGCAGTGTCTCAGTGTTTGACAGGGAAAGAGTTATGAAGGTCCTTACTGCTGGACTCCGCTGGAATATTACATACTAGGAGCACAGTTTGGGACATCATGCTGAAAGGCCTTCTGCTTCTTACCTGCCCTGCCCATATAATTACATAGTTAACCTGACTGAAAAAAGACATAAGTCCATCCAGTTCAACCAATAGAAGGGAGAATAGCTATATATTATATATATATATATATATATATATGTGTGTGTGTGTGTGTGTGTGTGTGTGTGTGTATATACAGTCCTATACCCACAGATGATCCAGAGGAGGACAAAAAAAAACCCCAATAAAGCATGACCCGATTTACTCCAGCAGGGGAAGAAATACCTTCCCAATCCCCCAAGAGTCGATCGTATATAACAACAATAAAGCACAAACAAGCCACCCAATAATGACACGTATAACTAGTGTCATTAACTTATCTCCGACTCACTTGTATAAGTGTGGATCCATAAACCCAAAAGGTACATACTAAGCAAAATGGTAGTGTGACAAGAACACCCCTACCTGGAAAAAGAAGGTTATTAGGTGATCCACGCGGAGTAATATGAATTCAAAAATATTCCAAACAATTCTTTATTTGATCACATAGATCATAAGGAGGTTAAACATGAGCATGGTGTACATATGAAAAAAATAAAAATCATGTTAAAAAGCACTAGGCGTCTTCAGTTTAGGGTCATCTTAACAAATAGAGTACCACAAGGCAGAGTTATAAAGTGTTGATATAGTTATCCTGGGTTTCCATGGGTTTTCGGCTTGTATTCGAGTAAACCATGTATGCAGCAAATGTGTTCCCAATGTATGTCAGGTATCTCCTGATGTGAAAAAAGCTGGAATACAGAAATATATAGTATATATATGGAAATATGAAAACCAAAAAACCATATCACATCCAATATTCACCAGGCCTCCCTCTACAATGGTCAGTGGATACTACTATTACCTTCTCAAAGGTGAGGTTGACAGGCCAGCTTCTCAAGTGTAGGGACTTCCTGGATAGCCACCCCAAATAAAATAAAGTCCACAGTACCAAATGATTCTGAGGATATATATAGAAAAATAGTGAAAAATGAAAAAATCATGGGCATCAGGTCGATCGTATATACCCTGGATCAACTTTACCTATCCTATAACTATTCGCATCCAGTTATATTTTTTTGTAGCTAGGAAAGAATCCTGGCTTTTAAAAAAAAAACAATCTACTGTTCTGGCCACAACCATCTCTTGAGGGAGCCTATTCCATATTTTTACAGCTCTTACTGTGAAGAAGCCTTTCCTTATTTTGGTGTTAAATCTCTTTTCCTCCAGAAGTAAACAGAGCCCTCTTGTCCTCTGTGATGACCTTACAATGAACAACTGCATGGACCATTTATGTATTTATACATGTTGATCATATCCCCTCTTAATCTCCTCTTCTTAAGAGAGAATAAATTCAGTTCCTCTGATCTTTCCTCATAGGTGCGCTCATTCTCAGGTTTGGTTGCCATTCTCTGCATTTTCTCCAGTTCCCTAATATCTTTTTTGTGGCCAAAATCAAACAGCATATTCTAGATAAAAAAACTAATAATCCCAATGTGAACTGAATGGTGAAAAAATACTACAAAACAATGTGCCCAAATCTAATGAACTAACACAGTCCATCACTAATACATAGTCCTTCCAACTATAAAAAAAAACGTTTGCCATCAGAAATCTTCTTTTTTCATATACAGTGCACCTCCACCACCAGTGACACCAGCTGTGCCCTCATCTGGAATTTTTGACCTCACAACTAAGTTTGGTCAGAAATGGCTTGCGTCCTCTAGGTGGACATATGGTGATGGTATGACCTCTACCAAGATTCTCCTTCACTGTTGATTCAGCTCCTTTTTCTGACTCCTTCTCCTCCACTCAGTACACCTAGAGCAGGGGTCTCCAAGCTGTGTCCCAAGGGCCAGATGCAGCCCTTTGCTAGCCTTTAACCGGCCCTTGGGGCACTATTCCTCCCTCTGACACCAACAATGGGGCGCTATTCCTCCCACTGATACCAACAATGGGGCACTATTCCTCCCACTGATACCAACAATGGGGCACTATTCTTCCCACTGATACCAACAATGGGGCACTATTCCTTCCACTGATACAAATGATGGGGCTTTATTCCTCCCACTGATACAAATGATGGGTCACTATTCCTCCCACTGATATCAACAATGGGTCACTATTCCTCCCACTGATACAAACGAAGGGGCACTATTCCTCCCACTGATACCAACGATGGGGCACTATTCTTTCCACTGATACCAACAATGGGGCACTATTCTTCCTACTGACCACCAACCCTGAGGCCATGTTTATTTTCACTGATGCTGAGCCCAGGACATTTTTACCCCCACTGGCAACAACCCGGCCCTCCTAGAGTCTGAAGGACAGCATATTAGCCCTTTGTTTGAAAAGTTTGGAGACCCCTGACCTAGAGGACGCAAGCCATTTTTTGACCAAACTTAGTTGTAAGGTTACAAATTCCAGGTGAGGGCACAGCTGGTGTCACTGGTGATGGAGGTGCACTGTATATGAAAAAAGAAGATTTCTAATGGCAAAAGTTTTTTCTATAGTTGAAAGGACTATGTATTAGTGATGGACTGTATTAGTTCATTAGATTGTTTGTAATATTTTTTCACCATTCAGTTCACATTGGGATTATTATTTATGTCACTATTTGAGCTTGAGAAAAGCGTTGCACTGTTATTGTATAATTTTGATATTTAGCACATTTGTATGAGTATGTGTAGGTGTGGGGGCTTTTCATTATCTGATTGTATTTTTTTGTTATAGCACTTTCATTTCGAGGTAGGATCTTTGCTTATTTAACTGCTCGCGGGTTCACATTTTATATCTTTGATATTCTAGATGAGGACTTACATCTAGTATAAATGAGCCCCAAAGTCCCACAGTCGTATGTCCCCCAATTGTTCATACCCTACTTTGATTTACACTAGGCAGTGGGGTTGAGTTGCTAAAGACAAATGGACTGTGTACTTTGCAAGTGCAGTTTCTACAGAGCTAAATAAATGAGGTAAAGCTTCACTTTACAAAGAATACCCAATCACATGCAAGGAAAATAAAAAAAAACAGCATTTTTGCTGGCACATGATTGGATAGTCAGCAGAGGTTCCCTCATTTACTAAGCTGTGGAGCAACTGCACTTGCAAAGCGCAGTCTATTTGCCTTTAGAAAATCAAACCTGTTGAGTAGTAATAGCATTATTCAAGCTCAGTACTAGGCTAGCTATGATATCTTGTGCTGTAGGCTGCATGGGCAAATTACAGGTTGACTATAAGTATTAAATTAAGTTAGGGCAAAGTACAGGTTGACTATAAATTTTAAGTTTGGGCTAATAAACAATAGATATATTTAATTAATACATTCATCCAACTTTGCTGACCTCCCTCTCTTCTTTGTTTTTATTACTGTTTCGCTATAGGCTTTCTTTGGTGAGAAAGGGTGCTACCAGCTGTGTGAGAAGAGGCTGAGACTAATTGAAGAGCTGTGTTTAAAAACTGCAGGAGAGAGACCCCATAAAAGGAGTTTATGAAAGCAGTAAAGTGGTACTAAAAGACATGAAAACTCAGATTGACAATACACATCTAAAGCTGATGGAACATCCAGACAAGTGGAAGGATTTCAGAATCAGGTACTGTTTTAGAACATTAGCCATGCCCTATCCATACAGCTATTGATGTACCAGTGACATTGTTGTGCCAATATTCCAGACATTACGTGGGCAACACACACTAAATCACTAGAACTGGAAAGTGGGTGTGAATGTAATGACAGGTAACAGTGATCACTCTACTGATACAATTCAAACAAGGTACCATGATAGGTTGCCACCTGCAATAAGACCATCCATGAAATTTCCTTGCTACTAAATATTCCATGGTCAACTGTTATTATAACAAAGTGTAAACAACTGGGAACAACAGCAACTCAGCCACGAAGTGGTAGGCCACGTAAAATGACAGAGCAGGGTCAGCACATTCTGAAGGGCAGAGTGCACAGAAGTCGCCAACTGTCTGTAGAGTCAATAGCTAAAGATCTCCAAACTTTGTGTGGCCTTCAGATCAGCACAACAACAGTGTGTAGAGAGCTTCATGGAATGGGTTTCCATGGCTGAGCAGCTTCATCCAAGCCTTACATCACCAAATGCTATGCAAAGCGTCGGATGCAGTGGTGTAAAGCATGCCACCACTGAACTCTAGAGCAGTGGAGACATGTTCTCTGGAGTGATGATTCACACTTCTCTGTCTGGCCAGCCAATGAACGTGTTTGGGTTTCGGTTGCCAGGAGAATGGTACTTTGTTTGATTGCATTGTGCCAAGCATAAAGGTTTGTGGAGGGGGGATTATGGTGTGGGGTTGTTTTTCAGGGGTTGCGCTTGGCTCCTTAGTTCCAGTGAAGGTAAGGTAACTCTTAGGCCTATTTCCAACTGGCATTAAAAGCAGGTGTTTGAAGGGTGTTTTTAACAGTCCTCAAACACCTATGCAAATGATACTATGGACAGCACATTATCAAAACATGAAGCATTAGCCTCGCGTCGCTTCAAAATTGAAGCCTCATGTCGAGTCTGGAAAAGTTTGAAGCCCTTCAACGCCTCCCATTCAATTCTATGGTGACGCTCCAGAAGCACGCTGGCAGATGTTTGCAGGGTGTCAGGGCTCCCAGGTGTGACCAGAGGTGTGTGACTGACGCAGGGAAACGCAGACTTCAGGTATGTGATAAACAATATAATTTATTAACACTAACCATACAAACATAAACGCAGTGCAATACTAAAACATAATACAGTGCAAACAAACAAACCAAACCAACCAAAAACAGATAACAGTACATACAAGCAAGCGTCGTCAGGCAGGCTGGGTCAATATCAATAGGGCAGGTAGGTACAGGGGGAGCAAGCGGAGATGGGTCGGGGTCACAGGCCAGGTTCAGCAGGTAGCTAGCAGCGTAGTACAGAGGGTCAGGCAGAGGGATGGTCAGGGTCACAAGCCAGGGATCAGAACAGGTAGCAAGCAGCGTGGTACAGAGGGTCAGGCAGAGGGATGGTCAGGAGCGAGCGGGATCAGAGCAGGAGAAGTCAGCAGCGGTTCAGATCAGGCAGGGTCAGCAAAGGAACAGAAACAGGATGCAGGACAGATACAGGGCCCAGGACAAACACAACACCAAGGCAGAGTCTGCAAGTCTGCCCATCCCTTAAATACACCAGTATCATCAGTTCCAGGTGTTAGCTGGCTGAAAGGTTGAGTCTCTGATTGCTGGGAGCACCCGCTGGCCAGCCCTGGTACTGCAGATCAAAAGGCAGGTGAGTCCCACCATTGCTGGCCAGTCCATTCCTGACAGTACCCCCCCCCTCAAGGAGCGGCCTCAGGACGCTCCAAACAGTCCTAGCTGGGCAAAATGTTCCACCGCCCGGGTCTGGTAACTGGTGGGATACCCCGGGCGGAGCAGCAGGCAGCGGGCCCCCGGGCAGGGCGACAGGCACCGGGCCCCCGGGCGGGGCGACAGGCACCGGGCCCCCAGGCGGGGCGACCGGCATCGGGTCCCCAGGCGGGGCGACAGGAATCGCCCCCCCGGGCGGGGTGACCGGCATCGGGTCCCCAGGCGGGGCGACCGGCATCGGGCCCCCAGGCGGGGCGGCGGGCGCCGGACCCCCAGATGGAGCGACAGGTCTCGGGCCCTCAGGCGGAGCGGCGGGCGCCGGACCTCCAGGTGGAGCGACAGGTCTCGGGCCCTCAGGCGGAGCGGCGGGCGCCGGACCCCCAGGTGGAGCGACAGGTCTCGGGCCCTCAGGCGGAGCGGCGGGCGCCGGACCCCCCCCCAGGTGGAGCGACAGGTCTCGGGCCCTCAGGCGGAGCGGCGGGCGCCGGACCCCCAGGTGGAGCGACAGGTCTCAAGCCCTCAGGCGGAGCGGCGGGCACCAGACCCCCAGGTGGAGCGACAGGTCTCGGGCCCTCAGGCGGAGCGACAGGTCTTGGGCCCCCAGGCGGGGCGGCGGGCGCCGGACCCCCAGGCGGAGCGGCGGGCGCCGGACCCCCAGGCGGAGCGACAGGTCTTGGGCCCCCAGGCGAAGCGGCGGGCACCGAGTCACCAGGCACGACAGTGGGCTCCGAGTCAACTGGCATGACCGCTGGCACTGGGTCAGACATTGGATCGTCTGGCTGGACAGCGGGCATCGGGTCACCAGGCATCAGGTCATTTGGCTCGACAGCGGGCACCGCGTCATCTGGCAAGGCAGTGGCTCCGAGTCAACTGGTATGACCGCGGGCACTGGGTCAGACATTGGATCGTCTGACAGGACAGCGGGCATCGGGTCACCAGGCATCAGGTCTTTTGGCTCGACAGCGGGCACCGCGTCATCTGGCAAGGCAGTGGGCTCCGAGTCAACAGGCACGACAGTGGGCACCGGGTCACCAGGCATTGGATCGTCTGGCTCGACAGCGGGCATCGGGTCACCAGGTATGACAGCGGGCCCTGGGTCACCAGGCATCAGGTCATTTGGCTTGCCAGCGGGCACCGCGTCATCTGGCAAGGCAGTGGGCACCGAGTCACCAGGTACGACAGCGGGCTCTGAGTCAATTGGCACGATAGCGGGCACCGGATCAGGTACCGGATCATCTGGATCAACAGCGGGCATCGAGTCAACTGGCCTAATAGGATCGTCAGGCTGGATCAGTTCATCATGCTGGGTAGAGGCATCAGGCTGAATGCCGGCGTCCGGCTGAGTAGAGGCTTCAGGCTGAGTAGAGGCTTCAGGCTGAGTAGAGGCATCAGGCTGAGTAGAGGCTTCAGGCCGAGTAGAGGCTCCAGGCCGAGTAGAGGCTCCAGGCCGAGTAGAGGCTTCAGGCCGAGTAGAGGCTTCAGGCCGAGTAGAGGCATCAGGCCGAGTAGAGGCTTCAGGCCGAGTAGAGGCTTCAGGCAGAAGAGAGGCATCAGGCTGAGTAGAGGATTCAGGCTGAACCACGGAAGGTTCACCGGTTTGGATACTGGCAGGATGGTATTGGTTGGAAAGAATTTTCGCTTTTTTCTGGTTTTAACTACTGGAGCACTGCAAGTAAACGCAGGTCTGCAAACAAATGGAGCAGCTGGAGACAGAGAAGAACTGGAGGATGGAACAGGAGAGGGAGCAGTTGCTACAGAGGGCTTTTTTACAGGGTTAAAGGCAGGATAGGTGCAGCGAGTGGGAACAGGGTACTGACATGCGGTAGATAGCCAAGTATACTGGGCTGTAACTGGGGGAGTTGTTGGGAATACAGGAGTAGAGCTTTGAGGAAATAGATTAGAAGCAGGACTGGGTCTTTGTAAGCTGACTGAGGCTGGGTGCAACAAGTCTGTCCATGTCTGCAGTATGGGTTTGAACAAAGCTGAGCTTACACAAAGCCTGTCTGACCAAAGACTGCACTGCGTTTATACAATCTCTTAGTATCTGTGGTGAACATGTGGAATAACGCTGCAGAAAGTAACCCACATCATCCTCTAATAACCACACCAGGGACTCTACCTGGTCTGCACTAAATGGTGGCAAAAATTCATCCCTGCATTCGGGGAAACCAGATGAAACCAACTCAACACAAACCTTAATCAATGGCTGCACCATAGAGAAATCTGTGCCCTGATCTACTAGAACATGAGCGAGCCGTATACATTCTAGCAGTTCATCCCGGGTATACTCCTTCAGAGTCTGATAAGCATATTTTCTGTCATCAAGCACTAGCAGAGATAAATACTCAACCTCATCCAGATCCATCCTTCCCAGCAACAAGCCAAGATGGCTTCCCTGTGCAGCCACTTCTGGTCAGGATTGGCCTTGGTGTAATGTCAGGGCTCCCAGGTGTGACCAGAGGTGTGTGACTGACGCAGGGAAACGCAGACTTCAGGTATGTGATAAACAATATAATTTATTAACACTAACCATACAAACATAAACGCAGTGCAATACTAAAACATAATACAGTGCAAACAAACCAAACCAACCACCCACAGATAACAGTACATACAAGCAAGCGTCGTCAGGCAGGCCGGGTTAATATCAATAGGGCAGGTAGGTACAGGGGGAGCAAGCGGAGATGGGTCGGGGTCACAGGCCAGGTTCAGCAGGTAGCTAGCAGCGTAGTACAGAGGGTCAGGCAGAGGGATGGTCAGGGTCACAAGCCAGGGATCAGAACAGGTAGCAAGCAGCGTGGTACAGAGGGTCAGGCAGAGGGATGGTCAGGAGCGAGCCGGGATCAGAGCAGGAGAAGTCAGCAGCGGTTCAGATCAGGCAGGGTCAGCAAAGGAACAGAAACAGGATGCAGGACAGATACAGGGCCCAGGACAAACACAAACACCAAGGCAGAGTCTGCAAGTCTGGCCATCCCTTAAATACACCAGTATCATTAGTTCCAGGTGTTAGCTGGCTGAAAGGTTGAGTCTCTGATTGCTGGGAGCACCCGCTGGCCAGCCCTGGTACTGCAGATCAAAAGGCAGGTGAGTCCCACCATTGCTGGCCAGTCCATTCCTGACACAGGGCATTTGCAGTGTGGTTGGGGCGCATTAATACCATTACAGTTTATTATAGGTGTTTGTGGTGCAGTTTTAACCTTTGTAAAAGGCTTATAAAATGCCTCAAAACCACACATAGGGCATTTTGGGAACATTTGTAACACTTGCAAAACGCCCATACTAAAGCTCATTAACACCTGTCTAACACCCATACTAATGCTATAGGAACGTTTTTGAAGAGTTTTTAGTCAAGTGGAACAAGCCCTTAAGGCGTCAGCATACCAAGGCCTTTTGGACAATTTCATGCTCCCAACTTTGTGGGAACAGTTTGGGGATGGCCCCTTCCTGTTTTAACATGACTGCGCACCAATGCACTAAGCAAGGTCCATAAAGACATGGATGAGCAAGTTTGGGGTGGAGGGACTTGACTGGCCTGCACAGAGTCCTTACCTCAACCCAATAGAACACCTTTGGGATGAATTAGAGCAGAGACAGCAAGCCAGACCTTCTCGTCCGACATCAGTGCCTGACCTCACAAATGCGCTTCTAGAAGAATGGTCAAACATTCCCATAGACCAGGGGTGGGCAAACTTTTTGACTTGAGGGCCGCAATGGGTTCATATATTGGACCCGGGGCCGGACCAAGAGTAGATGAATGATGTGTATGTGTCATCCATAGTAAGTATAGTAATATTCCCCCATAGTAAGCATAGTAATTAATCCCCCATATAGTAATTCATCCCCCATATAGTAATTCATCCCCCCATAGTAATTCACCCCCATAGTAATTTATCCCCCATAGTAATTCATCCCCCATATAGTAATTCATCTCCCATAGTAATTCATCCCCCATAGTAATTCATCCCCCATAGTAATTCATCCCCCACATAGTAATTCACCCCCCATAGTAATTCATTCCCCATATAGTAATTCATCCCCCATATAGTAATTCATTCCCCCATATAGTAATTCACCCCCATATAGTAATTCACCCCCCATAGTAATTCATCCCCCATAGTAATTCATCCCCCATATAGTAATTCATCCCCCATAGTAATTCATCCCCCATATAGTAATTCATCCCCCATATAGTAATTCATCCCCCATATAGTAATTCACCCCCCATATAGTAATTCATCCCCCATATAGTAATTCATCCCCCATATAGTAATTCATCCCCCATAGTAATTCACCCCCCATAGTAATTCATCCCCCATAGTAATTCATAGCCCATATAGTAATTCATCCCCCATATAGTAATTCATCCCCCATAGTAATTAATCCCCCATATAGTAATTCACCCCCCATAGTAATTAATCCCCCATATAGTAATTCATCCCCCATAGTAATTCACCCCCCATAGTAATTCATCCCCCATATAGTAATTCATCCCCCATATAGTAATTCATCCCCCATAGTAATTCATCCCCCCTATAGTAATTCATCCCCCATATAGTAATTCATCCCCCATATAGTAATTCATTCCCCATATTAATTCATCCCCCATATAGTAATTCATCCCCCATATAGTAATTCATTCCCCATATTAATTCATTCCCCATATTAAGTCCCCAAGTCCCCCCTGTGTCAATTCACTTACCTTTGCTCCGCGCGTTCCTCTCACCGTCTTCCCGCGCCGTTCAGGTGTAGCATGAAAATCTGTCTCCTATGAGGATCTGTCCCCCTCGACGTATCTGCGCATGTGCCAGTTTCAGGCATTAGCAGCCGATCGGCGATCTCCGGCACATGCGCAGATACGTCGAGGGGGACAGATCCTCATAGATTTTCATGCTACCGGTCTTCAGGGCGGACTGTGAGAGGAGCCTAGCTCCGCTGGCCGGATTAAAAGGTCCGCCGGGCCGTATACGGCCCGCGGGCCGTAGTTTGCCCATTGCTGCCATAGACACACTCCTAAACCTTGTGGGCAGCCTTCCCAGAAAAATTGAAGCTGTTATATCTGCAAAGGGTTGGCCAACTCAATATTGGACCCTACGGACTAAGACTGGGATGCCATTAAAGTTCATGTGCATGGAAAGGCAGGTTTTCCAATACTTTTGGCAATATAGTGTATATGTAACTAACTAACTACAGCCAGATGGGAGCAAAAGAATTTGGCTTTTGAATTGGATATGGATAGAAGACTATGATTTTACCCAGACAACATCATCTTATATTTTGCTTTCTAAACTGTACTAATTTTGATAATTTTAATTTTTGTGTTACTATTTTTTATTGCCTGTTACTGACTGGTCCTCTTCAACTTTACAGGCTAAAAGAAGTGTCAGATTGGCTGGCAGCAAAGAAAAAGAGTTAAATCAAATTAAAGGAGGGGCTAAAGACATTACAAAATATGAACAATTAAAATCTTCAGTGCAGGTAACATGTAGAGCTGATGTACTTGAGTATAAGATATTGAGTGATTACTTTATTTTATACTGTTTACTACTACTATTTTGGAGACTGTAATGGCTCCAGAGCTATAATGTCTTTACATGTTTTAATGGGTGTGCTGTAGACCCATTACTCCTTAGTTTCCATTGGTTGAAGATTTTAGCAGCATGCGAACAAGGCTGTATTTTAACATCATGCTCCCCAGGACATTGCTAGTGCTGAGCAAAAAAGGCACATACTCCACATCTATTAACAAGTGCACTGGGGTTCATACACTGCAACAGCCCACATCTTATTTTTTTATGTGCAGGTTTTGCAGTTGCCACCTGCCTGCTCACTTGTAGCCAGTCGAGCCTGTAACACAGAGGTGAGGAAACTCCTCAGCTCTTTACTGTATGTCTAACTAATGGAGCTGCCCAGTAGACAGACAAGGTCACAAGTCACTGCACACTGTACTGAGGACGAACAGCACAGTGCAGGAGCTCCGTCTCACTAGGGATTGTTGGCCTTCTCAGGGTTTCACTGGAAGTTCTGCAATGTTACCCTCACTGAGGCACCCTGGGAGGAAGCCAGGAGTGTAAGATAGGTTTATTTTCTATTTTTCTTGAAATTTGTTTGTTTTTTTTTCCTTCCATTTATTTTTATTGTTTTAAGTGTATGAGAAAATACAGAGCACGAGACAGAATATCTGCAGTACATGGTAAAACTGAAATGAGTAGTAAGGTGGGGGAAGATTTTAGCTAAGATATTAACTTTTCATTTTAATAAAGGTATACTTTAAACTCAATTTTTCTGCAGTGTTAGTTGTTCCCTTTGGCAAGTGCAATAAAACTAGTTTGAACACAAACCACAAATCTGTGTCAGTTGTTGTCTGAATGTAAAAGTCTTACTTTTGCTGGAGAAGATGTTAGCTTTGACTGTTTACTTTGATCTGAGTTAATGAAGTTGCTTATAGATATGGGAGGAAAACAGCTAATGAGAAGCTGTATGTTGACTTTAAATTCAATAGTTGGGGACAACTTCCTTTTGTCTCTCAAAATGCACCTAGTATTTTCTTTCTTGTATGTAAAAAGCAGTAAAATTAAGTAAATATGTGGCGATCCTGCCAGTCTCCTTCCTTTACCTTGCTGACCACTCTGAAAACAGAAGCAAATCAGCACTAGCATGGTAAGTTTGTGTCTCTGCTTCCTATTTGGCACCTACAGAGTGCCATGAAAACCTCAGTCTTGTAGTCAGACAGTTGCTGACATGTCAGCCTTCACAGTAAAGGCATGTCAACCATCCATTTAGTCCCACCTACAGCCTGAGTACACTTCATAGAGCTAAAGAACTCCTGGGATCTGTGACATTGGCGATAATCACCAAGCATATTCTTGATATCTCCCCCCCAGAGCTTGGGGATGAAGAGGTACATTAGCAGTCAATAAAATATACAAACTAAGGTATTTACAGTGCTTTCTTATTATTTTCTCCTAGTGAAAGTGAAAGGTTTGAAATCATGTATATACTATGAAATTACTTTCCACATACTTTAAAGGAGTCTCCATCCGTCTACTTTTTTACTTATTATTTTCCGTAACCCCAGTGAGAAGCTTTTACTGTCACTTATGCTGGAATAGACAGAGCTTGACTGCATATCTAAAGAGGACATTACATCAAAATTCAAGACCTAGTTATCTTATAAACCCCCAACCCTCCAAGAAAATACAATACAAAATACACAGGAAAACAAACAAACAAAAAAAACAACGATAGAAGAAAACGTTTTACAAGAAGGTACTCCAGCACTTTGTGGGAGAATTGTCTTATGAGATTTGGGATTCTCAGCTTTCCCAGGATCCCAGGAGAAAGTTCAGTGATGTCAACCTTGCATCAGCAAGCTATCTGAAGTTCTGGGTGTAAGGTTTTTTTTTTTACTTTTTTTCTGCTAATTTTTTATTTTTATTTTACTGTCCTTTTTTCACCCGTGAAGGGTGGGGATCTACAAAATAAGTGGATCTTGCATTGTGAATCAAGGTCCACTTTAAATTTCCTCTTTTTTGGAGTAATTCTTAATCTTAAGGAAAATTCACTTGCTTATATATTGTACTGTAAATGTTTTATTGTGGAAACTAAACCTATAATAAACTTAAAATCAGTAAGCTATCTGCTCTGAAGAGTGTGTAGCTCTACTCTCGTGAGGGCTGCTTGTATTTTTGTCCAGGTCTCCCCATGCTTTGCCCTGCAGCCAGGCTCAAAGTATTTTTCACAATCGGGCACACACATTTTTGCTTGTTGTCTCCAATGACCAGTCTAGGGGATGTTGTTTTTGGAGTTTTATTGTAGAACTGGGGATAGGGATTGGGAATTTAGGAGGATACTTCAAAAGTAGAACTATTCACAACTGAGGACATCTAGCTGATCTCTTAATTGAACACTGTTTAGTAGTGAGCAAAGTCCCATTAACAGTAGTAGTAGTAGCAGGGTCACTCTTTCTAACATCAGGCCCTCAGGTCGCCCACCTGAGGCTGCATGGCAGCAAGTGCCAGGCAAGGTAAGCCTACTTCCAGCCTGGCTGCAGGGCAATCCTCTCCAGGGAAAGACGCTGAACCCATGTGCCCACAGAACATAAATACCACTCCCAGAATGCAATGTGGCCACTCCCCTGCAATTGGCCAGGGCTGTATCCATTATCATGCTGTTAATTTGCTTAGCCCCTACCTATGTTCTGGAAGACTCTCATAGCTTCCTGAAGGCAAGTGGAGCTCAAGACAAACTTTAACAGCATCAGAGCTTCATGAGCAGACCTGACTAATCAATTACAGCACTCTTTTAAGCAGAATACTAAACTGAATTTACCTAACAGCCTCTCTGTTAGGCAGAGAAACACAGCTATACCTATCCTAACTTTAAAACTCCTATTACCTAAATAGGAGGGTGCTACAAGTGGAGCAATACATGTAGTTCATCATGATAGATCTACAGTATATCTTCCACATGCTTCCATTCCCAGTCCTCACAACCATTGATATTCAAACATGTAATGTCATTCTTACTAACATGGAGAAATGTATTGTTACAGGAAATTAGACAAGATGTGGTTAAACAAGAGGATAATCTCAGGTATCTGAAAGACAGACTGACTGCACTTACTGAGGTATCAGTGGAGAAGGAAGTAAGAAAGCAAAATGGTGATCTAGCAAGACTTTCTGACAACTTGAAATTGTTCCTGGACTCGCTAAATGAGGTACATTGTGTTAGCATTTCATCACTACATAGACAGCCCTCATCTTATTATAAGTCCAGTTTTTGCCAGTGCTGTACTAGAACTGTGTTTTTTACTAGTTTGATAAAAAGCCAAAGCAGCAACCTGTTATCATCACAAAATGAACAAATTGAGTCCTAACACAGTAAATAATAAGTGAAGTGTGTGTGTGTTTTTTCCATCGGGTACATTCTGCATGGCAAAGCAGTATTTTTAAAATACATTCATTCTTTTCTTATTTTTGGGAATACCACAAAATGTTTTAGACATTTTCTCATTCTTTTCCCTTTGCTTTTGTTCACGTGCTTTGAAAGTTATCATCAAAAGATCAAATTTATGTAAACATTGTATTACAGTGAAGGAAATAACTATTTGATCCCCTGATGATTTTGAATGTTTGCCCACTCACAAAGAAATGATCAGTCTAAAAATTGAATGGTAGATGTATTGTAACACTGAGAGACAGAATAGCAACAACAAATTCAAAAGAAATGCATGTCTAACAAATTATGCACTGATTTGCATGTTCATGAGGGAAATAAGTATTTGATCCCCTATCATTCAGCAGGATTTCTGGCTACCAGGTGCCTTTCATATTGGTAACAAGCTGAGATTAGAAGCAGTCTCTTAAAGGGAGTGATGCTAATCTCATTTTGTTACCTGTAATAAAAGACACCTGTCCACAGGCACAATCAAACAATCAGATTCCAAACTCTCCACCATGGCAAAGACCAAAGAGCTGTCCAAGGATGTCAGGGACAAGATTGCAGACCTACACAAGGCTGGACTGGGCTACCAAACTATCGCCAAGCAGCTTGGACAGAAGATGACAACAGTTGGTGCAATAATTCGCAAATGGAAGAAACACAAAACAACTGTCAGTCTCCTTAGGTCTGGTGCACCATGCAAGATCTCACCTCATGGCGTGTCAATGATCATGAGAACAGTGAGGAATCATCCCAGAACTACATGTGAGAATCTTGTCAATGATCTCCAGGCAGCTGGGACCACAGTCACCAAGAAAACAATTGGTAACACACTACGCCGACAAGGATTGAAATCCTGCAGTGCCACCAAGGTGTGCTGCTGTTTCTACTTATGCAGCTGAGAACAGAGGGTATGTGATCGCTTATAAAAAAGGGCGATATGTATTGATAATATATATGTGTATGTGTGTATGTGCATATATATATATATATATATATATATATATATATATATATATATATATATATAAAACAATATTCTGCTTTCTTTTTTAAATGTTTTACAAAGTGAGGGTTTACATATACTTTAAAGATACACAACAGGTCACACATAAAGGTTATATATATGATATGACTGAAGTAGGTAGGCCTGGGTGGAGTCATTGTATATATTCATCATTACATTGCAGTACATTGTTAAAATGATCTTAAAAATATAGTCTAATAATTCATAATTTCACACACAATTTTCACGTAAGATTCAAATGAAAAAAAAAGGTGATTAATTGGTGATAAATATTGATAAATAGACCCCACAGAAAAATTCTTACATTCTTTTCTGTTTCCCACTAGACTGAGAAGATTTTAAGCACAGTTGGAGATTGTGTAGAGTGCAAGGAGGCAGTAAAGAATAAGCTCAGTGAGTTAGTGACAAGCTCTAAGGACATGCAATCGCAAGTAGCGAA